GTGGTCGGGGAGCAGCAGCTCATTTGCATTTAAAGAGACAGGCCCGAAAAACAGCCTGTTTCTGCTTCCACTCAAAATAGGTATATTCAAAATTATATAATAAATGATATGTGGAGTATTTCGAGCTGAAACTTCACAGACACATTCTGGGGACACCAGAAACTTATATTACATATTGTAAAAAGGGGCATAATATGTCTCCTTTAATGGTTATCAAAGTATTCATGATCAACTAATAAGTGTTTTTTGACGGCTGATGCCGATAGCTTAGAGAAAAAGTGTCCGAAATATATTATTTCATACTATTTTATTTAGAGATAGTAAATAATACATCCTGCAAAAAAAAAACTACTAAATTAAAAATAAATAATAATAAAAAATTAATCAATATTTAAAATATAAATAAAATAATTTAAAAAACTAAGCTAATTGTTATGATTTTGAAACGTGCAGTGCTCATGTTTATTCAACGAAGTCAAACGGCACAAATAAATCAATGTACGGGAAACTGATAATGTATATCGAAATATCGGAAATGTGTTTAAAAATCATATCACCGTTATTGAAAAAAATTATATCGCGATACATATTGATATTGAATTATTGTCCAGCCCTACTCTATTGTATTTATTTGTGCTGTTGCTTGTAGTTAGATTATTCTTATTTTCTTTATTTTTATTTGACAGTATAGTTTTTGCCTAAACATAGCAAATACCGAACCGTACCGAAACCGTGACTCTAAAACTGTGATACAAACCGATCCGTGAGTAAGTTGAACCGTTCCACCCCTAATATATATATATACACACACATTTATATTATGTGTGATAAATTGCCAAATATCAGCCGATATATTGGTCTAGGATATATATCGGTCACTTACATTTTATTTTACATAAAATTTTACTAAATTACAAATAAATAATTTGAAAAATGTATCAATATATATTTAAAAAAAAAATTTTGGCTGATGTGATCATTTAAAAAAGCCAAATGTCTGCCGATATATTCACCTTGGCAATATATCGGTTACTTATATTTATTTTATATAAAATGTACTAAATTAGAAATCAATAATTTGAAAAATAAATCAACAGTTTTTTAAACAATCAGCAAAACAGAAAAATGTTAGCTATTGCAATAATTTTAAAAATGCCAAATATCGACTGTTATATTGGCTTTCGCAATATATCATTCAGCCTACAAAGTACCATGGTATTAACATCCGATACCATATTACTGGCGCAGAACTTTTCTAAAAAGCATATACATTAAAACTAATTTTCCTAAAAGGTCTTAAACTTGAACCCTTTGAAACCCCTCCGATTCAGGCCTGGAGCTCCGTCACAATTGAGAGACAAAGAGCTTCTTGGAGATCCATAAATTTCTCCTCTCAGGATTCAGCGTTCAGCTGTTAAACTTCTACTTGGACAAATAACCCCAGAAACACTGTTCCCTCGGGGACTTTTAACCCTAACAAGGTCAAAGTAAAACACTGACCCCGTCTAAAAACATCTAGCGTGTCCAATTACACCCGTGAAGACCAGAGCGTGAACTGTGAGAGGTCTGCTGTGCTGAGAAACTGAATGAATGGAGAATGAGAGTAAATGGCTGTGACAACCAAGTAACTAATAAACTCTCACGTGAGTAAATAATTAGTGGCTGACTGTGTTTTTAATGATCAGTGACGAAAAGAGTTAGATTCACTAACAAACCGGACATTACTACCGTCTGAACGAAAGTTTTACTCAACATCTAGCCCATAAGTATGAAAGCATGTTTCTACCATGGAATAAAAACTAAAAAAGGTAATTGGGAATTTTTATCTTTTACCTCACAATTCAAATGTTGTTTTCCTCGCAATTGCAAGTTTACATCTCACAATTCTGACATTTTTTCTCGGAATTCTGCAATTCCAAATTATCAATTTGCAATTGTGAGTGAGTTAAATGTCTCGCGATACTGTCATTTTTCTCAGAATTCTGAGGCTACGTTTACACTAGTGCGTTTTCGTTTTAAAACGGCGTTTCATAAATGATCTCCATCCACACTACACAACCGAAAATGCATGTCACATGACCATTCATGCAGGTACAACAATGTGCATGATGTTATTGTTTACACGGTCGTCAAGGATACGCAGAGCGAATGTGGGCGTGGCTATCGTTTTCAAAAGTCTCCGTTTACACAAACGCAACCCTGGAGTTTTCAAACTAAAACGGGTTCTGCAGCGTTTTCGAAACACTAGGGTAGTGTAAACGACAGGCCTAACCGCAGCAAAAGTTACGCGTTTTAAAATGAAAACGCACTAGTTTAAACGTAGCTTGAGTTTACATCTCACGACAGTGAATTTTTTTCTTGGAATTCTGAGTTTACATCTCGCAATACTGACATTTTTTTCTCTGATTTCTAAGTTTACATCTCACGATACTGGCATTTTTTTCTTGGAATTCTGAGTTTACATCTCGCAATACTGGCATTTTTTCTCAGAATTCTGAGTTTGCATCTCGCGATACTGAAATTTTTTCTCTGATTTCTAAGTTTACATCTCACGATACTGACATTTTTTCTCGGAATTCTGAGTTTACATTTCGCGATACTGACATTTTTTCTCTGATTTCTAAGTTTACATCTCGCGATACTGACATTTTTTTCTCGGAATTCCGAGTTTACATCTCACGATACTGGCATTTTTTTCTCGGAATTCCGAGTTTACATCTCGCGATACTGGCATTTTTTCTCAGAATTCTGAGTTTACATCTCGCGATACTGAAATTTTTTTCTCGGAATTCCGAGTTTACATCTCGCGATACTGACATTTTTTCTCTGATTTCTAAGTTTACATCTCGCAATACTGACATTTTTTTCTCGGAATTCCGAGTTTACATCTCGCGATACTGACATTTTTTTCTCGGAATTCCAAGTTTACATCTCGCGATACTGACATTTTTTCTCTGATTTCTAAGTTTGCATCTCGCGATACTGGCATTTCTTTCTTGGAATTCCGAGTTTACATCTCACAATTCTGACTTTTTTTTTCTTCTTGGAATTCTGATTTTACATCTTGCAATTGTAAGTTATAAATTAGCAATTGAGAGTGCGTCAACTTTTTCTTAAACTTTTTTCCCCCAGAATTGCAAGAAAAAAAGTCCTAACTCTGAGATTAAAAAGTTGCAGTTACCTTTTTCATTTTTTTTTATTCCATCACCGAAACAAGCTTCAATACGCAAGCGATTTAATAGCAGAGCTCAACTACAAAACTTGTATTCACTCTAAACTTTCAATGACTTTTATGATTTGATTCCATGGCTTTATCCCATATATTTCCAAGTTTTCCACAATTGTGGGAAATGCTGCAAAGAGTTACAGCATCCATAACCACAAATACGCAAATGAAATGTCTTCACTGGACCAACACAAGCATCATTTAGGGGTCATATAAAACAGACAAGATGCATAAATGTTTCACTAAATCAACACCTCATCATTTGTTAATCAAAGCGCTGCAAGTCCAAACCTGAACAAAGTTCAGGCGCCGTAGACAAATACTCTTTACAGAGTACACAGACTTTATCAGAGACATTTTCAGCATGTCAGTTTTCATGCAATGAGATGAATGAAACTGGTGGAAAAGAAACCACTGACAAATGCAAAACATCCACAGAGCAAAAAAATATCAGCTTAAATCTGCATGCATGTGGTTTAGCAGCAACTTTAAAGGTTAAACTTTAAAGCTCTTTAGAAAACTGTTATAATGCACTAAAGAACACAGAAACCAAAACTTAAAAAGCATCTGAAAAACTTTCAAGAACTTTGAATAAAGAACTTTTTGAAGCAATCATTTGACGTTTTAAAGACGTTTTACACTAAATGATTTCAGATCATCCTTCGGTCCATCTGTATCTTGATCTTAATCACCAAATATCATTGCAAACGTGCATCTGAAACATTTTAACCATTAAAAACGCAAATGTCATTAATAAAAACATGCGTCTACAAACTTTCAGCAAGATGTAACAAGACACGAGGACGGCAAAAACACACGCTAAGTTCGTTAACTGCACATTTACTGTCTTTAAAAACTAAGGAAAAATCTCTAACAGCTGTAACTGTTTAATTCTGATGTAGTTTTCCAGGACTTCACGCGTTTAAGCATCACAAACAATAGTTCCGAGTCTTTAAATGAAGACGAAAACACTTACCGACTGAGTTCCTCGTTATTTGAGGCGCATGCAGTTCATTCGCACCTTGGAGACATTTATGTGTGTATTGTTTTCATCGGAGAGACTCAGTATGAACATTTCATATGCAGCAGCACTGACTGACTGACTTCAGTCTGAACTCAAACGCCGCCGCATTAAACAAACCACAGAAACAGATGGGCGGGGCTTAGCGGCAGAAACTTGTTGTAAATGTCTAAATAAAAAGGTTTCGAGTTTTTAATGTTCACCTCGCGGTTTACATCAACATATATAAACAATTTCAGTGTTTTTGTTTAGCTGCAAATTATTATTTTCTGATTAATCAAGAGCGCTAAGCGCCGTGCGTGACGTAATAGTGTTACTTTTCTCAGCGCTGATCTTGACGGACTAATCACAGCCGTTGCTGAATTCATAATTTTTTTAACATTTGAATTTTTGTAAATGTATTTGTATATTGCTTGAATATATTTATTTAAACAATTATTTTCTAAGCGAATAAAGACAAAAAAAGAAACTGTTTGTCATTAACGGCATGCGCAACAACAAGTCTACAAACTTAAAATATTTTCCTTCAGCAAGACATTTCCCTCAAGACAAAGCGCGAGGAGAACATTAATACTTACATTTCATTGGAAGTTTCTTCAATGCACAGTTAGTTTTTAACTACTAAGAAATGGTTTAGTGTTTTTATTCAGTTGCAAATTAACGCTGATTAACCGAAAGCGCCATTTCATTGGAAGTTTCTTCAATGCACAGTTAGTTTTTAACTACTAAGAAATGGTTTAGTGTTTTTATTCAGTTGCAAATTAACCGCTGATTAACCGAAAGCGCTAGAGTGACGTGTTACTTTTCTCAGCGCTGATCAGGATGGACCAATCACAGCCGTTGATGACTAACTGATGACTAACTGTTTATATATATATATATATTATTATTTTTTTTACAATATTTGAATGTGTACTGAGTGTGCACTGTAATGAAGACTTTATCAAATTGAGAAAAATCTTTAAAAATAAAAAAAAGTTCGCACCAAAACTCCCAAAATTGTTTTGTGAACCCAAACTTTTAACTATTAACACTAGTCTTCTCACTGAGGCATTGTAGATTTTCATTTTGAGTCAATAGCGCCCTCTGCAGGTCATATAATAGCACAACATCCTTTTTCTAAAAGCAAAAAAATAAATACTAATAATAATAATAAATAAATCCCAATTAAAAACATCCACACACACAGTCTGTACATATTAGTTTTATTGAGACGTTCCATGATTAATAGTTTAGACATTACGCAAGTTTTTGATACACATTTAAAAAAAAGTCTATGTACAAATTTGCATTGTGGGGTATGATTTTTCACCATAAATGTCATTTTTGGATTCAGAACTTCAGTTTACTAAAATAAAAAATATAATGATAAAAAAATAACATTTAAAAACTATAATAAAACTCCTAATGTAGATAATGGAAAAACAAAACAGGAGTTTACACATCAAAACAAAGAGCCATAAATCAATATCTCAGATCTCAAACAAACTAAAATATGAAACTGATTTAACGTAGTAATGCAATGCTTACATGACTTTAAGATTAACTGATGAGGCAGCATTTAAAAACAAAAAAAAAACAATGCAAAATAAAAGTACATGGCTCAAGAATCATGATTTCGTCTTTTGTGGTCATAAAAACTGGCTTTATTATACGCTATTGCAACACATATTCACCCCTGAGCAAAATCCAACAAGCTAATATATAAAGCAAAGGACAGAAATAAGAGAAGTGAAAAAGCTGCTGGTAATAAAAGTTGTTTCAAACTCAAAACAAGCAAATCAAACGAACTTTCTGCACAGCTTCCAGTCAGTCTACATGAAACAAGTGAAGAAACCAAATAATGATTGCATATACAAATAGATTTTCCCATCACACTCCAGCAGTAAGGATAGATGTCCTGTTAAACGGAGTTAATGCTCAGATGGGTTTGGTTGTGCTGTTGTAGACGAGTTTCTCTGAATCCCCGTAGGTGTGAACGTGTCCGCCGTTAACGGCCACATGCTGATGTTTGTTTCTGCGCTGCTTCTTTCCCTTCAGGAGGCAACATGCGATAACCACCAGCAGGACGGCGATGGCCAAGCCCAGGACGACGGCGATCACGATGGCAGCTGAACAGAGACACGACAGTCACGTTACGTTAACGCATCTGGATACGTCCGGAGATTCAAACAGAGGTACAACAGCAGACTATAGACTAAAGATCTACTCAACATGTTTTTCCAAGGAAAAAAGACATGCAAGGTGCATTATTTTTGCCATTTAGTTTGAGGATACTAGTGCAACAGAAATACCATATGACATGTATTTACCCAAGACAGATCAGGGTCATTATAGTTAACTAAAACTATAAAACATTTGCTACTATAAAACATTGTTACTTCAAATAAAATAAACTTTAATAA